ATGACCTGAAAGGTTGTACCTATTTGCTATACGGTTACTTAAGAGCAACCTATATGCCATATAACTGCTTGACAGGACTGCAACCAGATAGGTCAAAGAATATAACACATAAATATATAAGGCAATATCATAGAACAGTAGCTTTTCAGAAATCATTTGAACCACTAAAGCAAAAGCAACATAAGTTTACAGGAAACAATGAATTAATTTGTTTTATTTTTCCTATCTTTGATGCTACAACAGAATTTCATGGCCTTCTAATAAGTGACTAATGATGGGATATGTAGAGGAATAAATATTGCAGTTTATATTTTAAAATCCTAAAGTGCCTGAGTTTATCAGTTACATTTAATGGATGCAAATAAGTAATTTTGAGCATATTACACTAGAGATGATAACACCTTCCTTTAGCTCTCAAATTACCTTATAAACATACTGTATTATCCCCAAAACAGTGATCCAGGAAAGAAGTGCTGTAGATAGTGTCAGAATTTTAAATTCACTGACTCAGAGTGCTCTAATTGCTCTAATATTTTTACTATGAATGAAATAATCCAGGTGTTTGTCTTGTTAGCATGAGTGCTATCGAATTCACATGTGGACTTGGAAACAATTTTTTTAAGTACACTGGGTTTATTTCTTTTCTATATGAATTCTCTCTGCCTGGAAAAATTAGAACTCAGGAGTGCATCTACAATTTGTTCAAGATAATATTATAGGAGATGACATTTGAAAGATATAAAAACAAAATGCATGATGATAGATTATCCATTCATTAATTTATGTTTGGAGATACTATAAGTTTGTTGTCTTTAATTATATAATGAAATAAAATTTTATTAAAAATTATTGGGGGGTGACATTGATCAACAAAATCCAAGGTTTAAAGTGTACAATTCAACAGTCGGTCGTATAAATACTGCATTGTGTGTTCACTATCCAGTTAGATTTCCTTCTGTCACCAAATATTTGACCCCTTGTACCCTTAGCTTTGCATAGTGGCAGTATCATAGCCAATGAGGTTTATCCAAGGCATGATTATTGATAATTAAAATAAATTCTTAATTTGTTACATAATGTGGTAGTTGGTTTATGTATCTGCGATCGACTATAGAGGTGCAGGCATATCTTATTGGCCATATGTCCGAAATTACGTCTGGAATATGAAGTTAAAACTGCTTCAATTACCTCCTATGGGAACATTTGGTTGCTGGAATGACTGGCACATTTGCGGTTCTGGATAGAATAGTATGAATCTTAAGTATGCTCTAAATATAAATCTAGTTTATCTCAAAGGCATATAGTTAGTCTAGACTGAGAAGATTCATTCAATAATAATCTAAGATTCTATAAAATGTGACCAAGTTCAAAGCTGAATCTTGTTCTCCTGTCAAAAATACTGCTTTTTAACATCCCTTAAAATATTCATATAGGATCTACTATTTTTCCAATGACTGAAATGTTGGAATCTGGTTATGAGTATGTGCTGTGGGAGTTTCCCTATGTGAAAGTGACAACCAACATAAGTGAAACAGAATGTAAAGTCTCCTAGAATTCCAAGCCTCTTATTGACAACAGATGCACTTAGAGTGACCCAATCAAGAAAGCTTTATACATGGGTAGCCAGTTGAGACAGTGGCATCAGCACAAGTAGCCACCTTGGCATAGTCACAAAGAGTCTAAGATCCTTGGAAATTTCCTGGCCAAAATGTTTCAAATAATAGATTGAGAACTGAGGCTTAAAAAAGTGAATTAGTTTGCTTAAAATCACTTATCAGTGGTGGACCCAGGTCTAGAAGCCACAGTCCACCTTCTTGACCAAACCAACAGTCTGTCCCCAACCATGCAGCCTCCTATCAGAGGACAAGGCTACATAGCATACAGTACCAATTCAGGACAACATATTCTGGCTATGTGACCCAATGAGCAATTATTCTATGACTCTGATTAATGGGGAAAAGGTCATTTTAATATTTCAGATCCCAAACTTAGATTTTTAGAAATTAATGTATTAGGTTTTTTTTTTTTAATGAAACCATGAAGAAACTGTTTTATTGTATACTTTTCATTATCTTAGCAACAAGCCATCATAAATGAAGATTTCATTGGTAAGTGTTAGAATGTTTAACCCCTAAATTAGATATCTGGGTTTTTTTTCCTCAGTTCCATCACATTAGCTGATATATATGTTCATAGAACTTCAGGGCTGCAAGGGAGCTGGCTCAAAGAGAGTGACTTTCCCTTGTTATACATCCTTAACTTCTGAAATGTATTATCCTTGGTGGAGAAAAGAAATGCATTGTGGAAAAGATATAGCTTTGAAGTAGATCAGATCCAGGTTTAAATTTAGACTTACCTTTTATTAACTTTATAAATAGCCATTTAACCATTTAGAACACCAGTTTTTTAGTTTCTTTTCTGTAAAATGGTACTAGCAACTTTCTAACAGGATCGTTAATGGGAAGAAATGTAATAACATGCCTAAATTACCTGGCACACAGCCAACTATTTAACAAATGGAAGCTATGATTCTTAGCTAAAGTAACAGGAAGACACATAATGCTAGATTGCAAAAAAAAAAACAACAACAAAAAAACAAAAAAACAAAACAAAACTATTTTAGCCTTTCATATTGGAAAGATTGGAAGAGCTCCTTGAGGACAAAGATATTTGTAAATATATGCTGAGATGTGCTCTCTCTCCTGAAATATCGTTAACTTAGATTATGGGACAGAGAAAATAACTGGAACTTTGAGATGGAGACCTGGGTTATAGTTCAGGTCCAGTTCCCTAATAGCAATGTGGCTTGGATAAAGCTCTCAACCTTCTTGAGTTTGTTTTTTCATTTGAAAAACAAGGCAAGCCCCCAAATATCTCTGCTTCCTACCTTACAAACAGTAAAGCTCTCTTCCACTGAAAGGCATTTCATGGTAAGCAGCTCCCAGTTCTTTGTACCTAGGTGGATCCGCTCCTTTCATCTTTGCTACTGTTACTTCAGTGGCACATTATTAGAAGTTTATGAGAAGCCGTTTAGATTTTCTTTACATTTAATGTTCTGTTGTTAACTCTCTGTGAAGCTGACTAATTTGAAGCGATTTAAAAGTCTAAAGTTGAAGATGCTCTGATGATTGTGCTATTTTAGCATGAAAGATAAAAACAGCAAGGTGAGGAAAGAGAGAAACATCACTGCTACTGTTTATGACTTCATTATACCAACACGGATCCAACAACTTCCAAGAGTGAGAAAAAAGAAGACGATGCAACAAGGGAAAACAATACATTTATTAAGAAGCATGAAAATGCAAAAACTCATTTATAAATAAATGTACTATAATCTACCCAGTGAAAAAATAGCTAAAATCCATGAATAAAATGGATTTTATTTTTGAAATGATTACATATTTAATCTCCAATAACTTCCTCCTCCATTATGATCTCTTAGTACCAGCAATTTCACAATGGTCATAGAAAAAGCTGTTACCAATGATTATCACATAAGAGGAAATTTTTTGAGAATTTTCTTTAAAAATGAACCAGTGCAAACAAATTCAGATTATAAGGGATACAGTTAAGACCTGGGCTTATCTTCAGAAAAGTAGAAAATAAAAACCCCAAACATTTATTCATTAAGAAATTAAAAAGCAAACAGTTTGATCACTGAAAAATAATATGTATGGATATTATAAAACATTCTTAACTACTGATTGCAATAATTACATTTATAAATGTTGATTCAAGTACTAGTGTTCAATTAACATTCAAATTCCCATTAAAAGTAACACTAGATAAAGACACATGTAGACGATAATTCTTTTAATTAATATAACAACGAAAATCATGTCAACAGGAAGCAAGTGACTCTTAAAATACTATATTTTTTGTCTGTAAATGATTTTTCACAGTCTGTATATTTTATCTGCGAGAACTCCATAAACATTTTACAACAGCTAATCGATAAGTCCTTTATATAAAATAACTCGATAATATAAACAAACATTCCAAAACACAATTTAGGTTAAAAAATAACAGGGCAGAAATCAGTTTTCTTTGGCAAGAAGTTGTTAATTCCTTACCAAATGTTGGTTTGCTGTTGTGAGACACTATCAGAAGACTTTTTGGTATTTACCAAAGAGCTACTTAATAAGCTGAAAAGAGTTCATAAACTAGGGTACCATGACAGCAACACAGAGTTTACGTCAAAGTTGCACTGAAATCAACATCGTTTCCTTGATTACTGCTGTTAATGGATCGTCCTTCAAATAGCTCCCTCCTAATTTTGGCCTGAGTTTCAGGTTTTAATAAAAGTTCTTTTATCTGTTTCACTTTGGACTTCAGACCCATCCTTTCTCGATGCAAAGCTTCATTAATTAAGTCCTGGATTCCAATAGGTCTCTTGCCTACAGAAAAAAAATTTATAATCCAGTTTACGTACAAATGCCAATGAAAAACATTAAATATGGCACACTGTCTATCAAAAGAGGGCTTAAAAAAACCTTTAAAATGTTGCCCACATATTATAGAAAAGATTGCATTTCACCAAAAATATATAATTTACCTGAAACAAATTAACTGTAAATAAAGATCACTGCATAGCCACAGCATACATGGGACAGACATGAAATATTATGTGCTAACTACATGAATAATAATTTCAACAGTGATTATTTTAAACTTAGCACTTGTTAGCTGTGTTTGTGTTTTGGCCTCAGATAAAGTAGTCAGATGCCCTGCTAAGCAATATAAATGGCAGTATTCCAATTATGGCAAGGCCCCTTCCATAGCCTTTAATTTGAATCCATGAGCCATAACCCAAAGTTCCCTCTCCCTTGGTCGTGGCTGAGGGCAAGTGAAACCTGGGCCATTCTTCATTCATAAATTAATTTCTGTGAGTCCCGGCACTCCATTTCTCTTCTGTTGTGTTTCAGAAATGTAAACACATCAATCATGAAAGTATTAGGTAATCTCCATAGATTGGACAAGAGACACTTAAACAGCACACTGCAAATTAGTCCACTGACTCAGCAGAGGGGAGAAGAGATGCTTCTCACGGAGCAGTGGGGCCTGCCTGTATTTGGGTCTCATTTCCTGTTGTTGTCACTGTCAGTGCCATTCCTATCAGCCTCTTCAGTTTTCACAGAGTTCCCATCCCCTGGCTTGTTTTTGTTCTGTGTTTCTTCCAGATACTGCTGGACAGCCTTGAGCACTGCGTTCTCCACCAGCCTCTTACTGAGCCTTACCAGTTCAGCATCATCAGGCTCACCTCCATTCTTATCACCTACATTCCACAATAGAGAAGAGAGGTCACTGAGATCATATTACCATAGAAACTCAGCATGCAGGGGCCAGTTAGTTACAAGAGTAAGTGTCTATCTGGTACACCGAATCTGTAAATTCAAGAACACTGGCTTGGCTTTTCATTTGGTATTTGCAGAAGCAGGAGACTGCCAATTCCTGAAGACTTCAGATTGAAAAGTAGTTTTTAAGACCCAATCTAGAAATACCCTATCTAGAGCACCGAAAGTTTCCTATTTCTACATAGAATTTTTGTTTTTCTTTTATCTAAGGCCAATTGCTACTATTAAAGTCCATGTGCCCATTACCTGGAGCCTCAGATGTAAATGCACCAACTAGATCGGTGTCTGCTTCTCCTTCTCCACTACCAAATACCAGGTAGTCAAGATTTCCCTATCAGCTAACTACTTAGGATCACTAATTTTAAAATGTTTGGCCTATAGGTTAGTTGTTAATAAACTCTCAGCACTCCCTTGAAGATAAAGGCAGTTACTACTTCTGGGAACTGGTTTAATATAAGCTTATAATGCTAATATTCTTTTAAATCTCAGTGCTATCACTGCAATTTAAAAAACAGGAAACTCTTCAAGGAGAAAAACAGTTAGGCTTATGTGAGTAAATTACTAGATGTTAATATTTAATAATATGCAGTGCTATCACTGCAATTTAAAAAATAGGAAACTCTTCAAGGAGGAAAAGAGTTAGACTTATGTTAGTAAATTATTAGATGTTAATATTTTGCTTCCATGCTAGTGATGATCAAGGTTTGATTATTCTACCTTTCATTTTACTGTAAAAGGGCTGGTTCTCATCTATTCTCATGCTACACATTTCCCACTTGCTCTCTTCCTTGTCTCCGTTAACTGGGTAAAAGCACAAGGGAGCTCATCACTCATGTCCATTCAGTCCCTCATCTCCTTCCACTGAGTTGTAGTCACAGGAAGGCAGATGACAGGAGGCAAAGACATCTCAGCACCTAAATATATTATACTAACAGACCTCAAGGAAGTGATAGACAACAATATAATAATAGTAGGGGACTTCAATACTCCGCTTTCAAGAATGGATAGATTGTCCAGATAGGAAATCAATAAGGAAACACTGGACTTGAACTATATTTGAGACCAAATGAACCTAACAGATGTATCAAAATACTCTATCCAACAGCACCGGAGTACATATTCTTCTCAAATGCATATAGAACAGGACAGATCATATGTTAGGTCACAAAACAAGTCTCAGCAAATTTTTTAAAAGACTGAAATTATACCATCTTTTCTGACCTCAACAGTATGAAACTACACATCAATGAAATGAAAACTGGAAAATTCACAAGTATGTGGAAATTAAACAACACACTCCTAAACAACTAATGAGTTAAAGATGAAATCAAAAGGGAAATCCAGAAATATCTTGAAATCAACAAAAATGGAAACACAACATAACAAAGCTTATGAGATACAGCAAAAGCAGTACTAAGAGGAAAGTTTAGAGCAATAGTGCCTACATTAAGAAAAAAGAGGAATATAGTCCATAATATTGTAATAACTTTGTACTACAGTTACTAGACATCATGGTGATCATATCATAAGGTACATAAATGTCAAATCACTACGTTGTACATATGAAACTAATATATTGTGTGTCAACTATACTTTAATAAAAAAGAGAAAGAAAAAGATCTCAAGTTAACAACTTAAGTTTACATTTCCATGAACTAGAAAATGAGAGCTAAGCTCAAAATTAACAGGAAAAAGGTAACAAAGATAAATATCAGAGCAGAAATAAATGAGATAGAGAATAGAAAAACAATAAAAAAGATCAATGAAACTAAGTTTTTTTGGGAAAGGTAAGCAAAATTGACAAACCTTTAGCAAGAATTGCCAAGAAAAAAGACAGAGAGGACTCAAAAAAATAAAATTACAAATGAAAGAGGAGATATTACAACTGACCCACAGAAATACAAAGGAACATAAGAGATTACTAAGAAAAATTAAATGCCAATAAATTAGACAACCTAGAAGAAATGGATAAATTCCTAAAAATATACAACCTTTTAAGTCTTAATAATGAAGAAATAGAAAATCTGAACAGACCAATAACAAGTAAGATTGAATCAATCATCAAAAACATGCCAACAAAGAAAAGTCCAGGACAAGATAGCTTCATGGGTGAATTTTACAAACATTTAAAGAAGGATTAATGCCAATTCTTTTCAAATTCTATCCAAAAAGTGAAGAGGAGAGAACACTCCCAAACTCATGTTATGAGGTCATCATTACCCGGATACCAAAGCCATATAAGAACACTACAAAAAAGGAAACTCCAGGCCAATACCCTCTCAAATTTAGATGCAAAAATTCTCAACAAAATACTAGCAAACCAAATTCAACAGCACGTTAAGAGGCTCGTACACTATGATCATGTAAAAATTATCCCCGGGATGCAAGGATGGTTCAACATATGCAAATCAATCAATGTGATACACCACATTAACTCCAGTAAGATAACAGGGTTGTTTTTGAGTCTAATTCCAACTCAGTTTCCAAGATGCCTCTCAGGTCAAATGATACGTGTTTTCTCTTGGTCCATAATGAAGTGTCCCTGTTACTTCAAACATTAAAAAATTTAAAACACAAGAATCATCTCATAAAACATCAATTTTTCCTTCTGACTCTTCTATTTGTGTTTACTTTTTACTATCATCCAAGTCAACCAAGCTCAAAACAAGACTGCCACCATCTTTGACTCCTTCCTTTCCCTTGCCAACCCACTTAATCATCTGCTCTTCCCAATTTCTCCCTTCTTCGATGTATCTGGTATAACTCCTCTATTTTAGTATTTCTAAAATGTCCCTATTATTTTCCATTGTCTCTACAGGAAAATTTAAATTTCCAAGGCTTTCCAAAATTTACTTTTGGTGATTGCCCACCACTGCAGAACTTCCACTCAGCTTCCAACATCACCTCAGGAGCCTCCATATCATTTCCTATTTCTAGGCAGCCCTCCTTCTTCTCCCCATTTAAAATTCCACCTACTCCATGAAGCCTTCCCTGACTAACCAGCTAGAAGTGATGAGCTTCCACTCAATTCCAATAAGTCTCACTGCATGTATAGTAGATGGTCATTTGGTCATTCATTCAAGTATGTACTGAGGAACTACTATATACGTGGCTATTCTAACTTACGGGGGATACAGCAGAGGAAAAAAAAAGTCCCACTAGTTTTCCTTTCTTAATTTCTTTACAAATTGTGAGCATTATTTATTAATATGCTTATTCGACAACTACTAATTCACTATCTGCTCTAATAAGACACAGTCGTAATCACAGAAACCATGTCCTAGGCTTCTCAGTTATTTCCTGTTCTTCTATTGTACAGAACAGTTTACTGAACCTAATAAGGGCTCAACAAATATTTGTCAGTCAAGTGAATTATTCATTTTGGAATTAGACTCAAAAACAACCCTGTTATCTTAAAGTCCTTGCAGGTAGTAACAACTTTTTAAAAAGTTCTTATCTTCCTATAAGGATAGCACACAATGGCCAAAATTTAGATTTAATATTAAATTTAATTCAAGAGCAGAGGATTCCAGAATAATCCAAATATCCACATAAAAAATCTCCATCCACTTTGCCTGATAATCCTGGTCAGTATGCCAAAATATCCAGCCTATGAGACAAATATCTACAATAACAAACTAACCAATCAACCAAAAGAATAGATTTACAAATAAAATATTCCAGATTTGTCCTGGATCCCTGCTTAACCTAATGATTTGACATAAAGCATCCTCAGACTATCAAGGTTAGCCTAGGAAAGAGCCTATCAGAAGGCTCATCACAGAGCCCAGCAAAAATGCAGCAATTCAAGAAATGTATATCTTCATTCCAGTGTGTCCCACCTTTAGCAAATTTAATTCAGCTTAATTAAAAAGAAGCATCTTAAGTTATATGGTATTTTTCTCCTGCTTACGAATTAAATAAAGGTATCTGTCTCCCACAGTGACCTCTAAGATACATGACTATATTCATTTTACTTGAAGCCTAGTTAACAATGGCAGTTCAATATGCCAGTGCAAGGTACATAGACTATCTTTTGATATTCCAACAAAAGTAAACATAGAAATATTCCCAATGTATGCAATAAATTCTTGATAAAAACATTCTTTCTTGGTCTACTTGGGTTACTTAATATCATGCCTACTTAAAATGACAGATTATCCTTTATCTTCAACACCGTTATTTTAGACTCTCTCCAGAATATCTCTGATCCATTTCTTAGGAGAATACTAAAAATATAGAAGAAAAGTAGCAAAAAATTCTGTTATGCCCACTAACCCAGTACTTTCCCTAAAAGAACAGACTTAAACTTTCCAACAAACTTCAACTAAGCAATTCTACTTTCTTAAGAGCTGAAATATCATTAATTTATGGTATTATCAATGATTCTATTTTTGTTTATATTTAACCTGAGATCTCTGATATCAGCACAGCATAGGGATAATATTTATTTTCGTGGTAGAAAAAAGAAAGGAAAGAAAAGAAAGAAAAGGAAGAAAAGAAAGAAAAGGAAGAAAAGAAAGAAAGAAAGAGAAAGAAAGAAAGAAAGAAAGAAAGAAAGAAAGAAAGAAAGAAAGAAAGAAAGAAAGAAAGAAAGAAAGAAAGAAAGAAAGAAAGAAAGAAAGAAAGAAAATAAGCGAACTCTTTTGTGGTAGCAAGAATATTTTCTACCTACAAGGATAATTTAGGATCAACATTAATGTGGTTCGACTGTACTAATGTGTGAGCTAACCAAAAATTAGTAAATTGGTGTCACATGAAGGGCTCTAGAAATCATCACCACCCCCAACCCACTACCATTATCTAGGTGCCTATATGTCCTGACAGTAGTAAATCACACTAATATATATATTTTTATGCCAGATGGCTAATGTGCCAATGTCATAATGAGGTTTAAGGGAGGCACATCTCACACAAAAGTGTGACCACCCAATCATCAAGTTTACAAACTACAAAAGAATCACAGAGCTAATATTTTTTAAAAGAGAACCAAAACAATCTTCATTACAATGCCAGGTAAGACAAAAGGAGAAAGTGTAACCACATTAAAAGTTCTCACTTGTTCCAATCAAAATCCCAGCAAATTAGTTTGTGAATATCAATAAACTGATTCTAAAGTTTATATGGAGAGGCAAAAAAACCCCAAATCATAATGGCCAAGACAACACTGAAGAAGAACAAAGCTGGAAGATTTACATAAGCCTACTTCAAGACTAACTATAAAGCTATAGTAATCAAGACAGTGGTGCTGGCCGAAGAATAGACACATATCTCACTGGAACAGAATAGAGAGCCCAGAAATAGACCCACACAAATATAGTCAACCAATCCTTAAAAAAGTAGTAAAACCAATACAATGAAGCAAAGCTAATCTCTTCAACAAATGATGCTGGAACAACTGAACATCCTCATGCAACAACAACAAAAAAATGAATCTAGACATAGACCTTGCACACTTCCCAAAAATTAATTCAAATGGATCAGAGACATAAATATAAAATGTAAAACTATAAAACTCCTAGAAGATAACAGGAGGAAACCTAGATGACCTGGGATATGGCAATGTCTTTTTAGATACAACATCAAAGACACATTACATGAAAGAAAAAAGTGATAAGCCGTACTTCACTAAATTTAAAAACTTCTGCTCTGTAAAAGACGATGTCAGGAGAATGAGAAGACAAGGCAAAGATTGGGAGAAAATATTTGCAAAAGACACATCTAATAAAGGATTTATCTAAAATATGCAGAGAACCCTTCAAATTCAATAGTGAGAAAACAAACAACACAATTGAAAAATAGACCAAATATCTTAATACATACCTCACCAAAGAATATATACAGATGGCAGAGAAGCATATGAAAAGATGCTCCACATCATATGTCATCAGGGAAATGCAAATCAAAATGAGATATCACTACACATCTATCAGAATGGCCAAAATCCAAAACATGGATAACATTAAATGCTGACAATGATATGGAACAACAAGAACTCTCATTCATTGCTGGTGGGAATGCAATGTTTTTGCCACTTTAGAAAACAGTTTGACAGTTTCTTACAAAACTAAATATATTCCTACCATACAATCCAGCAATCACACTCCTTGGTATTTACCCCAAAGAGCTGAAATTTTATGTCCACACAAAGCCTGCACATGGATATTTATAGCATCTTTATTCATAACTGCCAAAACTTGAAAACAACCAAGATGTCCTTCAGTAGGTGAATGGATAAACTTTGGTATATCCAGATAATGGAATATTATTCAGCACCAAAAACAAATGAGTTATTAAGCCATGAAAAGACAATAAAGAACCTTAAATGCATATTACTAAGTGAAAGAAACCAATCTGAAAAGGCTACATACTGGACAATTCCAACTATATGATGTTTTGGAAAGGGCAAAACTACAGAGACCATAAAAAGATCAGTGGTTGCCAGGAGATGAGGGGGAAGAGAGAATGGAATAAATAAGCAGAGCACAAAAGATTTTTAGGGCAGTGGAAATATTCTGCATGATGCCATAATGATGGATACATGCATTACACATTTGTCCAAACCCACAGAATGTGCATCACCAAGAGTGAACCATAATGTAAAACTGTGGACTTTGTGATTACAATGTGTCACTGTAGGTTCATCAATTATCTTTAGGACTTCTCTTTTTCAGTCTGTTATGTCAGTTCTCTGAGTCCATACTATGATACACATTGTTCCCCAATTTCTACAGTAATGCTGTCATTTCTTACTGAAAACCTTGGTGATGTGATGGAACTACTGTTAGTGACATGATAGAACTTCTAACGTGTATGTAAGGATGGAATAGTATGATAAACAAGGAGCCTGAAATCCAATTCTGCCATTTTCTACCTGCACAGCCTTGTTCACAATCTTTCCAAACCTAAATTCCCCTTCAATAGGCCACTCATGAGGATAATATACCTTGCCTTGTTATTGTAAGCATTAGAAATAAAGTGTAGAAAGTGCCTACCATTGTGCCTGGAACACAGTAGACTTTCAAAATATGGCAGTCATTTTATTAGTACATTTTACACATGTGTTATGATTAAGAAGAATGTGTTCAATACCTACTAAACACCAATCAATAATTTATTCACTTTACTATGTGCCACAATTATTTAAAAATAAACAAAATATTGTCTCTGAGCACATAGAAGTCAGCCTAGGAAGATGACCAGTATACAATGATTGCAAAACAATAGGTTAAATGCTGTAACAGAAAATGTTCAAGGTCAGTGGAGTTAGGAAGAGATAACAAGGTTAATTGAGTTTCACAGAGGAGATATTTCGCCTCAGTAAATAAGAGTTTCTGGGCATGAAGTTAAGGGGAAGAGGGAAAGTTTTCCAGACATAACAAAGGGATAGCGTGTCTGCAGAAGAATAAAAACACATGACTCATTTGAGGAACTGGAAGTACTTCCATGGTACTGGCATAAAGAGTTCAGAGTTTCGTGGGTGGGGTTGGGCTGGTGTAGGAGGGAAGAAGGCTAGAGAGCAGGTAGGAATGAAGGGCCCTACGTACCATGCTACGGAGTCTAAGTTCATTCTATAGGCAATAGGGAGCTATTGATGGATTTTCAGCATGGACTATTTTAGAAAATTAACTGACATAGCCATGTGGGATACCTGAACTGTGGTTGATGCAGTAGGAAAGTAAGGGACATATTACAGAGAAAGTTAAGAAAGAGAATTGCAGAACCATAGGCCCAACTTAATTAGGGAGAATGTTAAGGAAAGAGGAAGGGGAGTAAAAAAATATGTATATATAAAGAAATAAAGGCCAAAAATGTTTAATATTCAATAAAAACTGTAACCCTAAAATCAAGAAGCTCAAAAAATATTAAGTATAAGGAATGTGAAGAAAATCACACCAAGGAACACCATGATTAAATCACTGAAAACCAATATTAAGAGGAAATCATAAAAGTAGTTAAAGAAAAAAGGGTGCATTATGTCCGGAGGAACAAACACAATAATTATAGCAGACTTACTTATAAGAAACAATACAAGGTAAAAGATTAACAGTACAACATCTTTAAAGTGCTGAAAGAGAAAGCAACAAAAAATTCTTTATTTGGACATATTATCTTTCAAAAATGAGGGTGAAAGATTTTTTTCAGACATACGGATGCTAAGTTAATTCATCATCAGCCAATCAGCACTTAGAAAAAATGTTAAAGGAAAAACTTCAGGCAGTAGGAAAATGATAGCAGATGGAGATTTGGATCTACTTAAAGACAAGAAGAGAACTAAAACCTGTACATGTGTAGGTAAAAATAAAAAGCGTTCTCTATTCTTAATCTCTTTCAAAGACAAATATCTGTTTTACATGGAGTTTATAAAATATGTAGAAATAAAGTGTATGGCAACAATAATACAAAGACCAAGAGAGAAAATGGAAATAACTGTAAGCCTGTTATGTTAAATGTGAAGTGGTATATTACTTGAAGGCACACCATCATAAGTTAAGAATGTATACTTTAAAACCCTAGAACAACCACTAAAGTAAAAATAAAAAAGAGTCATAACTAATAAACCACTAATGGACATCGATGGAATCCTAAAGCTTCTTAATACAAAATAAGGCAGTAGAAGAGGAGAAAAAGGAACGAAGAGCAGATGGGAAAGTAGAAAACAACAAGCAAGGTGGGAGATTTAAACTCACCCATATTGATAATCACATAAAACGTAAAATGGTTTGAACACTCCAATAAAAGTCAAAGGTTGTTAATATGGATAAAAGATAAGAATCAACTATGATGTCTACAAAAAATTGACTTCAAACGTAAAGACACAGACAAGTTAAAGGTAAAAGGATGGAAAACTATACACCATGTTAATGCTAATCAAAAGAAAGCTAGAGAATCAATATCAGACAAAGCAGATTTCAGAAAAAAAGAATATTTTCTGAGATTTTAAAAAACGGCATTTTATAATTATAATAGAGTCAATTCATCAAGAGGATCTGAAAATCCTGAATGTGTATCCACCTGATCACAAAAGCTTCAAAGCATCTAAAGTGAAAACTGATAGAACTGAAAGGATGGTAGGTAATCCACAATTATACAGACGGTCCCTGATTTTTGATGGTTCAACTTATGATTTTTTGATTTTACAATGGTATGAAAGTGATATGCATTTAGTAGAAACTATAGTTCAAATTCTGAATTCTGATCTTTTTCCAGACTAGCAATATGTGATATAATACTCTCTTATGATGCTGGCAGCAGCAATGAGATGATTTTGCCCAACTGTAGGCTAATGTAAATGAGTTCTCAGCTCATTTAATGTAGACTAGGCTAAGCTATGATGTTTAGGTTAGGCGTATCAAATGCATTTTCGACATGATATTTTCAATTTACAATGGACTTATCAGGATGTAACACCATTGTAAATCACAGAGAATCTGTAGTTTGGGATTTCAAAACCATTCTTATAGCTGATAGAACAAGAAGAGAAAAATTCAGTAAGAACACAGAAGAATTGAACAGTATTAACCAAATCCACCTAACTGACAATTATAGAACACTCTATCAAACAGTAGAATACATTCTTTTTAGTGTACAGAAACCCTACAAGAGGAGATCATATGCTAAGGCATAAAACAAGTCTCAATAAATTTAGAATTACTAAACTCATCTAAATCATGTTCACAAACCACAACGGAATCAAAAAATCAACAACATAAAGATTTCTTGACAATCACCCAATTATTTAGAAATTAAACAACATAATTCTAAATAATCCATGGACTAAAGAAGAAATCAAAAGCAAATTAGAAAATATTTTGAACTGAATGAAAATTGAAATATGACATATCAAATTTAATATTCAATAAAAACTGTAATCCTAAAATCAAGAAGCTCAAAAAATATTAGTTAATATATTAATATTAATTCTTGTCTTTCTCTGTAATATGTCCCTTACTTTCCTACT